TTATATAGATTGAATATTTTCCCTTAGATTACATTTAATTTTAATATGTTACAGATGTATTGCATTACTAATCCAAATTCTATATAATGTACTCGAAAGAGACACTGAAGTCCTAGACCCCAGTAGCCCAGAATGTGACTTTATTTAGAAATAGAATTGTTACAGTGGTAGGTAGTTAAGATAAGGTCCTATTGGAATAGAATAGACCCTTTATGCCAGGGGTCCCCACCCCGCGGGCCATGTACTGCAGCCTGTCCGTGGCCTGTTAGGAACTGGGCCATGCAGCAGGAGGTGAGTGGCAGGTTAGTGGTCTAAGCTTCATCTGTATTTGCAGCCACTCTCCAGTGCTAGCATCACCGCCTCAGCTCCACCTCAGATCATCAGACGTTAGATTCTCATAGGAGCGCCAGTCCCTGGTGTCAAAAATGTTAGGGGCTGCTGCTTTCTGCCATATGTCTGGTATCCTTATAAGGAGAGGAAAAGAGATCAAGAGGCAGAGACACACAGGGAGAATTCCAATGAACAAGGGAGGCAGAGATTGGAGTGATCTATGTACAGGCCAAATAACGCCCAAGATTACTAGCAAGGGCCAGTAGCCATGAGGAAGCAGAGAACAGATTCTCCCTCACAGGGTCTGGAGCAACCAACCCTGAAGACAACTTGATTTCAGAGTTCTGGCCTGCAGAATTGTGAGAGAATAAATTTTGGTTGTCCTAAACAACCCAGTTGTGGTATTTTATTATAGTAGCCCAAGGAAACGAATTTAAATATTAAGAAATGAATATACTATTTTGTATACAAATATGATTTTCAATTTTACATATTAGATATGTAGCTGGTTAAATAAGCATTTATAAGGTGTGATCCATTCTCAATTATTTTGCTTTAGATTATATTTAACTTTAATATGTTACAGATGTATTATTGCATTACTAATCCAAATTCTAGAAGTCTGAAAATATCTTCAGAAAAGATATTAATTTGCTGGTGATAAGCATTTTTAGAGACTGTATCTGCTTTGAAAAAAACATACAAACAAAAAAAACAGCTGCTGAAATAGTCTCATTTTCTCCAGCGTCCAGTTTTTAGAGGCAATAAATGAAGTGATTAAGGGTTTGCTCTGAGACTATCAGGGTTTAAATCCCGATTCTACTACTTCTTAGCTACTGTGTGTGACCTTGGACAAGTTACTTAGCTCTCTCTGCCTCAGTTCTCCAATTGTAATGAGAAAACAGTAAACCATTGACCTCATAGGGTTGTTGGGCTGATTAAAAGACTTTTTAAATGCTTCTAGCCCACTGCCACAGATTAACTGCACAAAGCAAGTCTGACATGCCACTCACCTGGTAGAAAACTAAATGTGATCTTCCATCACATATATCACATACATGAAATGTTAAACATCATCCAAGTACTGGCCGCATCCAACTTTCTGCCTTTTTTCTTCCTTACTCGCTATTTATTGAAGTCCCACCCTCCTTTAAAATCCAGGTCATGTTTTACCCGCTACTGATATGCCTTCTCAGGACACCTACATCAGACTTATTCTTTCTCTCTCTGCCATATTCCCATAGCACAAGAGTGAAACTCTTAGGCAGTACCTATTCTGCCTAAGAGTTACTTGTGCATGCGATGCCCCATTTGAAAGATTATGACCTCCAGGAGGGCAGGGCCTGTAACTTTCAATTTTATATCCCCCATAGTATCTAACAGATTTTTACACTTAGTAGATACTCAATAAATGGTTGTTAAACTTGGTTGAACCCACTTTTTTTTTTTTTTTGGCAGATGCCCTAAGAAAAACATAAGATAAATAAATTACTGTTCTTTTCATTGCAATATATATGCCCTGGGCTAGTGGGTATTTACAAACCTGGTTTAGAATTTAGGGAAGTCATCAATCTAAGAAAGGAGAGGCAATGCATTTTAAATCACAAGAGCAATATAGCCTTATATAAGGCCTTCTAGCAAAGCAATTACCGATGACTGAATAACCCAGGTGCTAGTGTTATTATGAACAAAAGTCTGAGGTTGAGAGACAATGAGTGATCTTAACTTTTATATTCCAAAGGTATGCAATTCAATGAAACATGTACAGATGGAACGTTTAGATCTGAGAATCATACGTGGGTATCATAATGCAAATAATTGGCTTTCTTTCTAAAGAACATCTGTCGAAACATCTGAAAGCAGTTGTTTATACTGCTGCCAAAATGTTGAAAAATATAATAATTCCCCAATGAGGTTAGAAATGTCTGGGGGAAGAAAACACTTTTTATGTAGTTCTGTTTTTATTAAATCCTGTTTTTGTTTCTCTAATATGGCATACAGGAGATGCTCAGTAATATTTGTTGAGTGAATGTTGAATGAATAGCAGAGACCCATTAAACAGTTTTTGAGTGAATCATTCCTTTTATTTAGACTTATACATTTTCAGAAAACAGTGTGCCCTAATTTTACCATGTTGCATATCATTTTTATTTGGCATAAATTAAAGTAATACTACTTTTACTGTGGTGAATAACAAAAATATCTTAACACTATAGAAAATGTTTGAATAAAACTGGATTTAAAATAGCAATATTTTAATATTTTTATATGTTACTTGTACTCGTTATTATGAACCACTTTTAAAATTTGAATTGTGGGCTTGAATAATCAGGTTTGCTTTAACAGATAAAATTAAAATCCCTGCTGATGTCTATAGTTGTAGTTCCTCTAAAAAGACTCCAATTTAGGATTTAAAAGCACCAAAATATTCTGGGATGTGAAGAAGACTGCAAAAGATGAAAAAGCCATTTCTCCCCATGCCCCCTTCTCAAAATTTCCAGCAGCTCTCTCTTCAATACTGCTGTGTGAGTAAGGTGACTGCGCTCTCTAAAGCCTGCCCAAATTTCACTCTGCCAAGTTTCAGTACAGAAAGAGCATGTTAAATAATAAATGTGAGTTTGAATATAACTAATAAAATTAGAATGTTAAGGAGCAGTATGCTTTTGAAAACCAGCCTCCTTGTGAGGACGCTCCCTGTGCAAGTCCACGGGAAGTAATTCTGAAAGGAGTGATATTAATTAGTAACATAATTTATCTTCTGGAAGCTCTAGCCTTTGATGGCCGTCGTGGCACAGTTCATAAGCCTCTAAATGAGTCCTCAAAGAAAATGGTTCAAACCACAATTTCAGCTCTGTTTTCCATCCTTGAACAGATGAAAGAGTCAAATTTATTTCAGAATATCTAAATTTTACACATGCATCTATGACAGAGAATTATGAAGTTATAAAAATGTATTTATGAAGAGTTTTCATGAAATGGTAAAATGCTTATGATGTAATAAGAGAGAAAAAGCAGAATCCAAAATTAAATTCATGGTCTCTGGTCTCAGATTTCTTGGTTTCAGATCTCATTCTGCCATATACTAGATACACAACCTTGACAAAATAATTTGTGCCTCAGTTTCCTCAACTATACTATGAAGGTAATAGTAAAAATCATCTCAGGATATATAGTGTCCAGAATGCTGCGTGGCAAATAATAACTAATAGTAATAACTAGTAACTATTATTACTTATTCATCATATTTTAAAATTTGTAAAGAAAAATGCAAGATGAGTAATACCTGGAAGGCAATAACCATAATACTATTAATATTTGGTTCTGAATGATGTGTTTTTGGGCAATTCTTTCTTACTTCATTTCACTTGTCAGTATGGATTCTATTATAATAAAGATTAAAAATTAAGTTTTGAGTATACGTGGCTTGATAGAAATTAAGGTGGAAATTTAGAATAGGTTAAAACATAACTTATTATACTACAGCATTAATGAAATATTAATTAAGTCTGTTATACAGATGATGTGACAGAATTTCTATTTACCTTCTTTTACTTAGTTCTAAATACATTCCAACTAGGAATTACTTTTTCAAGTTTAGCCAATGTCAATTTAACATTCAGAAATAAAGTGTTTATTATATAATCTTAATATTTTGACCTACTACACTAAAAATATTTTATTTTTTAATTTAAAAAATCCCACGCAGAAGTCCCAAAGGTGCCTTTCATGTTTAAGCTTTAATTAGCAACCACTTTGGTCTCTGACACATATTGTGCAGATATGGAAGTGTTAATATTACTGCAGCTTGATTACAAAAGGCAATGATTAATTTTAAAGCAGACAAAAAAGATATGCCCTGATTACAAAGGAATGATTAAGGCGGAATGTCAGACATTGCTCATTTATAGCGGTCTTTGCCATAGGCAAAGGATAAGACTTTGCAAAAGTTTATATTTAGAATCACGGGTACGTCGTACTTTGTAATACTGGGTGTTTGTGCCTTGGAGATAGATCACCCAAACGCCGAAAGTAAGGCTTAAGACCTTTTGGGGGCCACATGGCCACAGCAAAACAAACACCTGAGTGCAGAATGGTCCAAAGGAGACGCCGTAGTTCACATCCCCAGCAAGGCCAACCCGGGGCGCTGGCCTCGGCTTTCCAGGCCTCCAGCCCGCAGCCTTTCAGGCTTCCAGCCCGCAGCCGGTTAGTAAGTACACATTTTGCTGAGAGGCAGAGCACTTTGAGGACTTTCTCTCTCACAAAGAGAGGGGCCCGAGAGGTACAGGCTGAGCACGGACCCGCCGGAGGCCAAGGCCTCGGGCCTCCATTGTTGTCGGCCTCCATTTTTGTTTGCCGCCAGAACAAAAAAAAAAATAAAGGAACGCGGCCCAGGGTTCGGCCGGGGGGCAAGTTTGAGACTCCTCATGAGTGGAAGGAGGCGCGAGGGAGGGAAAACCCGGGTTTCCGCACTTGAACAGAGGACACGAAGGCCGGGAGCTGGGCGGCGCGGCGGGACGGCCTCGGCGTGGGCCGGGGACAGGCAGCTGCGGGGCGACCTGGGGCGAGCCCTCGAATACTCTTTCTTCTTTATTGTGCTTTCCAGGATCCTCAGACTCGGTTATAAACCATTTAAAGGGCCAAGAAAGGATCCGCGGGAACCTGGGCCCGAGATGAGTTTAGAGTCCCTGTTCCAGCATATCATCGTCTCTGAGCTTCAGGCCAAGGAGAGTCGCCGCCTGATGCGAGAAGGTCGAAGGGACACTTGGGTCGTTTGCGTGGGGCCTTTGTCTTCTCCAGTTGGGGGCTTGGGGCAGAAGGCAATCTCCAAAGCAGTGGTCAGAGCAGTTAGGGGAGTCTGCTTTCCACATCGGGGGAAGGACAGCTGAAAGCCGACGTATCACAGGATACAGAAATGGGGACTTTAGAAAAGTTAATCTATTGAAGGATTGAATCATTGTTTTACAGTCAGGTCGGAAATAAACGGATGTCGTGAAAAAATTAAAAAAGCAACGGAGGAGCTGAATGAAGAGAAAATCAAGTTGGAATATAAGGTATGTGGAGCCTGTTTATTATCACTTGAAAAGGTCTGTTTTAACTTGACTTTTTGAGAAGATTTTACCATATAACTAGTTGTCCTTCAAACAAGAAGCACACTGCCAGGCTGGTTAGCTTAGTTCCTCGTCGCCTGAGGATATTTGAAATTCCGAATCCAGTGACACCTTCCTTTCTAGTAAGAATTCTTCCTAAAGAAACCAGTTTAGTAACGAAGAAGTCATTGTCCATGTTATGGGATGGTTAACGTTTTAAAAGAGCGCAACGTTATTGAATAAATAATTGTTTCGTAAGTAGTTGGTGCAGTATATACATTTTGAATAATTTGCGTGCTATGTTGATGTAACAATTGAATGTAACTTTGAAATGAGTCTCTGCCTTCTGTTTTTCAGTTCTTTACCACATTTTGGTCATGTCTTTTATCTAAACACATAATTTTTCCACTAGCATTTTTCTCTTTTTTGCAGCATTTGTAAAGTCGTTATTTAAAATAGAAGCAAGGGTATCAGATGGCTTCTTTAGGAGGATTTTGAAGGGTGGGTAAATTTTGTAGAGGCAAAGCAGTAGGAGAAAAGCATTCGGGGCAGGGGTGGATATGAACGAAAGGGAGACATACCCAAGGTTTTTTGGGAGACAGGGCTCATATCTGGGAAGAAGAGGAAACCACTGCAGGTTTTTGATTGGAAGGTGGTGTGATAAAAGTGGTTTTAAGAAGATCTCCCCGAGCTCTGGGAGAATGAGAGCTAAGAATACCATCCAAGTATATCGCAATGAAGGCCTTGCTGTGGGCAGGGGCAGTCACACAAAGAATATTTACTCAGCTCCTAAAGATATACTAAGCAAGCAATGTGCAATGGGAAATCTGTTTGAGAAGTCTGTTTGCTTAAAATATGTCTATTTTAATTTACCACTGTGAGGAATTTACAGTTCTCTTTTTGAATAAAGTAGTTATAAGCCCTTCCTCTACCTGGGGAGCTTTTGCAGTTCCTTCTGAGTCTTATTCAAACATCGCCTGGAAAGCCCTCCCTTGGACAGCTTGGAAAATTTTTTTTGTTATAATGTTCAGGGTACCACCTTATGATTAAACTACAGTACATATCTGTGTTTGCATTTGTGTCCCTCACTATTTTGTGAGCAATATATATCTGGATTATTTTTCTTAAACATTTTTATTCCCACAGCCTGAATCTAACACCCAGCCTTAGTATACATTAGCATTTTAAATGAATAAACGAGTACTAATAATGAGCTAATAGGGCGAGTGCTGTCTTTTCAAATAGAATTTGGAACTATTAGTGAGACTTTAGGTCCTATTTTGTCTATGAGTAGCAGACAAACCAGCTGCTAACAACTTCTAAAAGCTAATGGGATGGGCAAAGCATTAAGAATGTCATGATGTAGCTTTCTTTTTCTTTCAAAAGAATTAAGATACTTTTAGGATTGGTAAGTAGAAGCTATTAAGATAAGCAAAACATATACAATTAGGGAATGCATAGCTAACACTTATTGAGCACTTATTGTATGCTGGGCACTGTTTTAAATAGTACACTTGTATTAACTCCTTTAATCTTGCCAGGACTCCTGTAATGAGACCCCACCATAAATCCCCCTTAATAGGGGAGGAAACTCGGAGGTTAAATAACTTGTCAGTGGCGTATAACTTAAAGATAAATTACCATAATGAAAGTACAACAGCATATTTTATTAAAACAGATTTCTTGAGCTCATCTTAAACTTTTTTTCATGCAACTCACTTATAATAATGTATCTGAAGCTTTTGCATCTAGTTTAGGGCAATATTTATAAAAGGTCACTTATGTAAGTTTTTGTATAACATGTATTTTTCCTGGATTGGTGATGATATTGGCCTGACAGATAACAAATGTTAAGGGGGGAAAAAAAGATTTACTCTTTGCATATCTTCTTTGAAAAAAATTAGGTTTACTTTTTGTAATATTTTCTTTGTTAGCAGCCTGTTTGCTGGTAAATGGAAATTAATTTGTCGATGTATACACATACAAAAAAGTTGATTCAAATATTTATACCTGAGAAAAGAGAAAGCAAATTCTTAACATTGTTTAGAAACGTTTGCTGAAATTACTAATTAATATAGGCTCATAAATGTGCATTGCTTTTTAATCAGCTCATGTATGTAGGTAATGATATAATTGTGTCTTACTAATAAAATTAATATACGAGGGTCACAGTTCACAATACTAACTTGTAATTGAAATAATTTCATTTATGATATAGTCAAAATGGTGTGTATGTATTCGTATATAAAGGTTTTTAAAGTGGAAACACAGTTATGATGTAAATGACTAATGGGAAGCCCTGAAGAAGTAATCATAAGTTCGTTTCTTGTTTCTTTTATTCTCAAAGTTAATTATATGTTTGCCAATAATAATGAAAATATATTTACTTGAATATTTGACTTGTCATTTATTGACCAATTTATCAAGTAGAAGCAGCATAAAGAAAAACTAGAACATAATTTGAATAGGCCAGTGCTTGAGCTATATGTTCAGTGATACCGTCAGAAAATATTTGGGGCATTTATTTTGGAAGTTGCTTGTGGTCAAAAAATGTATTTAGGAAGTACAGTATTCATTTTTCTTTTGTTCTGTAAAACCCAGGTAGCATGTAATTAGAACTTGAATGATAGCATTTGCCTTTCAGGGCTCAATGAGTTCTTTAAAATATATGGTTGCAAAAGTCTCAGATTTTATAGTATGAGTAGTTTGTGAATTGGACAACTACAGTATGCCTGGTTAGGTTTGGTAATATGAAAACAGACAAGAACATCCCTTGGATTTGCATTAATACTTACCAGTATACCTAAAGCTTCTGATAGTCAAGGGAAAAGGTTTTATGTATTGATAACAGAGCAAATCAAAATTAAGGACTCATAGAATATTTGTAGTTTCTTTATGCATCTGAAAGAAGTATTTTTTTTCTATTTTAAAAATAGTGTATAGTTAAAATTTGAGCATTTAATCTTTATAAACATATATAAAATCTAACATAGTACAGTACTCCTTTAAGAGGAAGTAAAATGAAGGAAAGTCAGATTTTATTTTTTCTTCTCCCAATTTTAACTTATTGCATAGACAATAAGTTAAACATAACACTAATAAAATTTTATGAACTTCTAAAATAAAATTATATTTAAATAAAGAAATAACTTAAGGTGGCTTCTTTCCTTTACTGCGAAATGTGCAAATTCTTTAATTGTTAAAAGTTAGGACCTAGAAAAG